GGTCGCGGGAACACTAGCTCTGGTGGCGGCTGTGTCTGGCTGGTGAAACCTCAACGTCATACTTGTGGCTTTATTTCCAGGTGAAATGTAACGAGCAGCCTAACAGAGTGGAAATTTATGAGAAAACCGTGGAGGTCCTTGAGCCTGAGGTCACGAAACTGATGAATTTTATGTACTTCCAGGTAAAATAGCAACATAATACCAGGGTTTAATGCGGGAGGGTGGTGGCTGCCCTCCTGCCCGCTGCCCGAGCCTCACTGCAGAACGCTGGGGATTCAAGTAGCCCCACTGCTGCTGAAGCCTTGACGGGCTCCAGCCCTGCTGTTCTTCCAGAGTCAGTGCTGCTGCTGCTGTCATGTGCCTTCTCTGTCTGAGAGCCCACCCCTGTTCCTTTGTGGAGCCTGCTTTGTGTCAGGTCCCAGTGCAGCATTTTCACTTCCTCCCAGTTCGTACTTTTGATTCATCTGGTTTTTCAGGTATTTTCTTGTGTTCATCTTCACCCTGACTGTCCATTCCTGCTTGTCCTCGCCCTAGCCTTGGCCTCCTTCCTGCCCTGTGGTTAGGCAAAAGTGGCTATGTGGGACTTGCTGGCCTTTTCTTTTTGTTTTTTTAATTTTTTATTTTTTGAGTCAGAATCTCACTCTGTCACCCAGGCTGGAATGCAGTGGCATACTCACGGCCATCGCAGCCTCTACCTGCTGGGCTCAGGTGATCCTTCTGCCTCATCCTTCCAAGTAGCTGGAACCACAGGTATGTGCCACCATGCCTGGCTAATTTTTTTTTTTTTTTTTGTAGAGATGAGGTCTTGCTGTGTTGCTTAGGCTGGTCTCAAACTCCTGAGCTCAGGCGTTCCTCTCGTCTCCACCTCCCAAAGTGCTGGGATTACAAACTTGAGCCACTATGCCCAGTCAACTGGCCTTTTATTTTATTTTTAATTTTTAAATTTTTTTAATTTAGTTTTTGAGTTGGAGTCTTACTCTGTCGCCCAGACTGGAGTGCAGTGGCCTCTCCTGGCCACCGCAGCCTCGACCTGCTGGGCTCCAGCAATCCTTCCACCTCAGCCTTCTAAGTAACTGGATCTATAGCTGTACGCTACCACACCTGCCTAATTTTTTGGTTAATTGTAGAGATGAGGTCTTGCCAAGTTGCCCTGGCGGGTCTCGAACCCGCGGGCAACTGGCCTTTTAAAGAAGTACATTGGAGCTGGGTGCAGTGACTCAGCCTAGAATCACAGCACTTTGGGAGGTGGAGGTGAGAGACTTGCCTGAGATCAGGGCTTTGAGACCAGCCTGGGCAACTTGGCGAGACCTCATCTGGGCATGGTGGCAAGAGCTGGTAGTTCCAGCTGCCTGGAAGGCTGAGGTGGAAGGATCGCCTAAGCCCAGCATGTTGAGGCTGTGGTTGCTGTGAGTGTGCCATTGCACTCCAGCCTGGGTGACAGAGTGAGATTCTGACCCAAAAAAAAAAGTACATTGGAAATGTCTAAAGAGTTTTTATTACAGTTTCCTTTAGCAAAGGGACATTATGGAACTGACTAGGAGATGAATTTTTGTTTTATCTTGAAAGTCATCAACAGGAAAAACCCCCTTTTCACCTCTGAAAATTATAACCTCTAAATTTCTTTAAAAATTATTTTTATCAATTTTTTTTTTTAGCAACTGGGTCTCAATCTAACCCAGATTAGACTGTGGTAGTGCGATCATAGTTTACTGCAGCCCCGACCTCCTGTGCTCCAACTATCCTCCTGCCTCAGATTCCAGAGTAGCTGGTATCACCGGTGTATGCCACCCTGCCTGACTAATTTTTTAATTTTATTTTAATCTTTATAGAGGTGGAGTCTCTTGCCCAAGCTGGTCTCAAACTCCTGGTGTCTTGTGATCTCCCACCTCTCTCTCCTGAGTCACTGGGATCACAGATGTCAGCCACTGCACCCAGCCAACATCTCAGTTTTGGGGATGTTTTACTGGATCATTTTGCTCAATAACTTTGCCGGAATAATCAGCAAATTTTTTTTTTTACTTTAGGGGCATAGTTGGTAAAGTGCAAGATAAGTGATTGTCTCAGAGCAAAGGCATATGGGAATTGCTTTACTGAGTGAAGTTGCTTTTCCTGAGTTGTAAAGACTTGCCCTACAGCCTCAGTGGGTGGATATTTTTTCACCAAGAAACAGTGAATCCAGATATGTGCTTTTGACTGGGTGGTGGAATTGGCCCATTGCTGACCACCATGTCTGCCTTGTCCTCCGCAGAGGAACGCCATTGAGCGCTTCTGTGGGGAGGTGAGGCGCCTGTGCCACGCTGAGAGAAGGAAGGACTTCGTGTCGGAAGCCTACCTGATCACACTGGGCAAGTTCATCAACATGTTTGCTGTGCTGGACGAGCTGAAGAACATGAAGTGCAGCGTGAAGAACGACCACTCGGCGTATAAGAGGTGCACCTGGCCCCACACCCCTCCGCCAGCAGGCCCAGCAGCATGCCTTGCATGTGGCGTGGCAGCTGTTTATGGAGCCCACTGCTCCAGGGTGGTCGCAGCCGCTGTTCAGTCCCAGGGCTGCGGAGCGCATGCTCCTAGACTCAAGCACAGGGGAGCCTGCAGATTAAGTGCACGTGGTGGTTCTCCATAGCTAGGGCAGGCTCTGGATGTACTGGCCCTCCTCCGATGTTCATGGAGGGCCTCCAGGAAGCCAAGATGCAGGCCGCTCAGAGCACAGGTGTTTGGCTCAGGGAGCATCCTGGCAGGGGGATACCGGGGTGTCGGGGTTCTAGTGCTCCATGGGTCACCTGTTGGTGGGTTCCTGGCACATGAGCATCATTGCCACAGTGTGCAGATATGGGCTGGGACTGTCACAGAGTGTCTCAGGGTCCTAGTGAGCTTCTGGTCCTGGGGGCAACTCTCCTTTACAGTGGCTTGAAGTTGCTGACAGGAGGACAGGAAGAGGGGGTCTTGGCTGGGTGTGCTCTGGCAGCACTGTGGGGTGATGACAAAGCAAGCTGCCTTCCACTGAACTCTCTTTACTAAGTTTGTGCTGGTGCTATTGAGGACATGTTTTGCTGCAGTGAGGTGCTAATGTCTGTCCCTCTGTTAAGCAAGGACTCTCAGCTCTAAAATTAGAAGAGACTTTCCTTTGCATCGGAATGTGCTCTATTTTGTTGCATCTTAAAGCCTACAGCAGTGTCTTTATATGAAAATCGATTTGCAATGAGATGAGGCAGCAAACCAAGATTTGAGCGTTGGGGGTGGAGTTTGGCCAAGGTCACCTGGAATGTAAGCCTTATTCATGTGAAGTGAGCACAGTGTTCCATGTGTCATCTGGAATCAGCTCTGCACAGAAGCTCGGATCTTCGGAACTGGAGGAAGATCTCTGAGCTAACCTGGGAACCCCTTCTGGTGGGGAGGCCTGGAGGTGTCTGATGACACAGTCGGTGACCTTTCTATGAGTCTCGCCATTCAGAGGAGGGCGGGCCCTGGTAGCACTGGTGGCGTGGTTTTAAGTGGACTTCTCAGCCTTTTTACTATGTCAGGACACGTGAGAGGCACCCGTGGTCTCCAGTGTTTGGAGCTGTGGCTGTTTCCTCTTGGCAGAGCCCTGTCTGTAGAGCAGTCTGGAGATGGGGTTGCTCTGTGGCAGGGGCAGGGCACCCTGCTGTAGCTCCTTCCCCGGCATCTTTGCCACCTCCAGGTCCCCAGGTTCCAGTATGGGCCCGGGCACCTCAGCCAGACAGCTGCCTTTTCCTGTGGCCGCTGTTTGGGACTCTGTCGGTTCCCAGTGCCCCACTCGCACACCACCCCCTTCCTGCACCCACTGTGAGCCACCAGCACAGCCTCTTCTGAGTGTAAATGCCAGCATGAACCATGGCCATGTGAGACTTGTGACAAACAGAAAACAGAATCCTTGATCCTTTCCTTAGCCTCTGCAGCCTCTGCCCAGCTGTTGCTCACGTCAGGAAAGTGAATGTGTCTGAAGAGGCAGGGAATGTTGTTAGTTAATATTAGGTCTCACTGTGTATAGTTTTTAAAAACCCACAGAGGTAACAGTGGCTTGAAAAGATGGCAGTTTATTTCTCTCTCACCTGGAAGCGGTCTGCAACTGATGGGGGATCCAGACCCAGGGCTCCTGTTGGCTCACCCTCTGCATCATGTGTTGCCTTGTACAGGATGCTGGCTTGAGTTCCAGCTATCATTTTTGCATTCCAGTCAACAGGGGGGAAGGAAAAAAGAAGGGTTCCCTTCTTCCTCATAAGTCTACTTTCATGTACTTTCCGGTGTTCACATTACATCTCATGCGGTGCCGGACCCGTGGCAGCAACCAACTCAAGGGTGGCAGGGCACGCACCGGCCCAGGGAAACATGGGGCTTGTTCCTGAGGAAGGGGGGAGGAAGCGAATGTTGGGATGGGCTGGTGGTCTTGGCCATGGGAACTTTTCTTTAACCAAAGGTTCTAGGCACAGACAGATCCCAATGTGGTCGACGTCCATTGGCCTTCCTGGGAGCAGCTCTGGATGTGCCAGTCTCCACCTCACCTCACACTCTTGTCTGGTCAAAAATCACCAGGTCCTTCTGTGCATGTAAAACTGTGTAGCTGCTCATTGGTGGCAGAGCAGAGGTCTCCCTGTGGAGAACCTGGGTAGTGCTGGCCACTTTCACCGTAGGGCTTGTGGGAGTCACAGAGTGAGTGGTGCCCTTCTCAGACTTGGGAACAGGAGTCCGTGCCCCCAGATGAAGTGCGCGTCCACTGACACAGAGGTGAGGCCGGTGTGCAGGGGCCCCTGGAGGAAGCCTGTCAGCTGTGGCCCCCAGCTGCAGAGCTGTCCAGAGTAGTGCAGGACACGTCTCAGATGACAGGAGACTGAGCTGGAGGCCAGGGCTGAAGGCTCCAGGAGGCTGAAGTCATCACAAGCCTTCAGGAGGCACATTTCCTACCGAATGTGAGAAGGGAGGAGTCCTGACCTTCCCAGCTGTTGCTGTTGTTGCTGTCAGCGTAGCATGTTGGTGCATTTTGGGATGAGCTCTTTTTGCTTTCAAAGGGCTGCCCAGTTTTTACGTAAAATGGCAGATCCACAGTCCATCCAGGAGTCTCAGAACCTGTCCATGTTCCTGGCCAACCACAACAAGATCACTCAGGTAAGTCCCAAGTGTTGTGTTGGGCAGGGCTGGGCTGCCACCAGGCCCTGGCACAGGCCTCTCGCTCTGTTTCAGTCTCTGCAGCAGCAGCTTGAAGTGATTTCTGGCTACGAGGAACTCCTGGCAGACATTGTGAATCTGTGCGTGGATTACTATGAGAACAGGATGTATTTGACGCCCAGCGAGAAACACATGCTTCTCAAAGTACGTGTGTGGGGTGCCTGCTGTGGCCCCCTGGGAAGATGGGTGCTCTGGTTCAGGGCTGCACTTTATCTGGAATCCTCCTGCCATCTCTTCCTTGTCCACCTGCTTTCGGGTGTGTGGAGTGCACCCCACCCACGTGCAACCCCACTACAGGCTCTTGCACATCCTGGGAGTGAGTGTGTCGCCCCACGAGTTGCATGCTGATCCCGGGACAAGGCACCCGTAGGCCAGAGGTCCTGGGTCAAGGATCCTTTCAGCAGTGAGCTGCTTTTGACCAAGGCTGTACGGGTCTCCCCTGGTGAGGGATGTGATTCCTAGGAATGAGACACATCATGGCACCGTGAATGAAGCGTACTTTTGCTGGTTTGTCATCTTCTTTACTCTCCTGTTTCAAATGGGAAGGGTGAGGAAGCAGAGGTGCTGTTCCCTTTGTTTTGCTGTCCACCTCTGTGAGGGCAGCCCTAGGGACCCTCTGCTGGGCGGCCCAGCCCCAGACCTCTCTCCGAGCAGGAGTGCACTGAGGCCAGAGCAGCATTGCCCTTGGTGACTGGCTGTGTCTGCCCTAGCTGGTGTGGAGCCCTGGCCATGTGCACGTTGGAGTCCTGGAGACACGCATGTGGCCAGGGCCATGCTAAACACTTGTCTGCACATACTGGAGCTAAACAGCTGTGTGTGGGTACGTGTTGGACAGTGTCGTTCTAGAATAGCCCTGCTGCTCAGGTTAGGCCAGTGGAAAATTTGCTTTTTCAGGTTTGATCAACTTGCCTTGAAGCCTAGTCACCCTTTGTAACATGATTTTACTGAGGAGAAAAAAATGTGCTCAAAGCACCAGGCAACCAGCCTAAAATAGACCTTTGTGATTTTGACATGTCAACTGTAACTTGTAAGTCCTCATGGATAATTAAATTTGCAAGTCCGCTCTGTTGTACTGTTTTGTCTTTTCAGGTCATGGGATTTGGTCTGTACCTGATGGATGGGAGTGTCAGCAACATCTATAAACTAGACGCCAAGAAAAGAATAAACTTATCCAAAATTGACAAGTACTTCAAGGTGAGTTATGTTTCTTTCTTTCTTTTTTTTTTTTTGAGTTGGAGCCTCATTCTGTCACCCAGGCTTACAGCCACCGCAACCCTGACTAGCTGGGCTCAGATGATCCTTCCACCTCAGCCTTCCAAGTAGCTAGAACTACAGGTATGTGTCACCATGCCTGGCTAATTTTTGATTTATTGCAGAGATGAGGATGAGGACTCTCCAAGTTACCCAGCTGGTCTTGAACCCGCGGGCTCAGGCAGTCTCCTCACCTCAGCCTCCCAAAGTGCTAGGACTATAGGCATGAACCACTGTACCCGGTTTCTTTAGATCAATGTTTTCATTGATGTGTGTGCAGTTTGAAATTTTGGGACGTGAACCCCTGTGTGAACACAGTCTGTGTCAGGAGGTAGCGAGTCGGGAGTGGCTGGGAGTGGCCCTACTCCCACTCCCAGAGGGGGTTGTTCTCGTGCTCTCCCCCTCTGCCCTACACTGGTTTGCCTGAGTATGTGGAATGGTAAGGTCTGTATTCCTGTGCGTCCGACTGTTTCCGCCTGGCCTCTTGCCTTTGTGTACGTTGCTGCAGGAGCCTGTAACAGTGGCTCCTGGGTGTCCACTGTGTTGGGGCATTCTGTTTCATACTGCACCATGGCCTATTTGTTTATTTGTTGTTGATAGGCAGCCAGGTGTTCCATTTTCAGCTGGTACAGGCAGTGCTGCTCCAACTTGGAGTTTATCCAGGAGAGGGGCTAGACTCACAGGGCGTATCTGTTTCTGATTTTAGCAGTTACGGCCTGATGACTTCAACACGACTGTCTCGATTTGCATCCCCCCAGCAGGACGCAGCCCACCGGCACTTGACACTGTCTTTTCTGGGGGAGGAGAGACATCCTGAAGGACATTTATGTCATTGTGATTTTATTGGCTTGTGTCTCATTGTGGTTTAGTTGACATTTTCCTGATGGTTTTCCATGTAATCATCATTTGGCATGTTCTTTTGTGAGATGCCACTTCAGGTTTTTTGCTTTTTTCCTATACTGTTTGTGGTTCTTTATGTCTTCTGAATCCTTTGTTGAGTACATGTGTTTTAAAATACATGCATTCTCCCCTATGCCACTCACCTTTTCGCTTTCCCCCCAGCTTTATTAAGATACTTCTGACAAATAAAATTTGTTTATGGCATGCAGCACGATATTTGGGTATGCATATACAAATTATTCAATCAAGCTAATTAACACATTCATCACCTCACACACTTATCATTTTTTTTGTGGTGAGAATATTTAAGATCTACTCTTTCCAGCAAATTTTAAGCATGCAATACAATATTGTAGCTAGAGTCACCATGTTGTGCATGAGATCTCCAGAACATACTCATCCTACATAATGGAAACTTTGTACCCTGGGGTCAAAGTCTTTTCTTTTTGTCCCCATCTCAAGCTGCCTTTTCACTTTCTTGATGGTGTCATTTGATGATCTGAAGTTCTTATTTTAGGATAGTCCAATATATCAATCTTTTATTTATTTGATTTGATTTTAAAGATATGGGGTACAATTCACGATTAGGTACATAAGTGGTTGTCGTACGGGTGAAGTTTGGGCTTCCCATTGGGCCTCACTTTGCCCGTTTTGGGATCAGGCACCCTTACTGATGTTGTGTGTTCCACTACTGCCAGTCCCTTTCTTGTAGCATTTTGATAAATGTTCAGGGTCCAATATTTTCATCAATATCCACTTCAAGAAGTCTTTGCAGCAGCCTTAGGAGAATTTTCTACTGTGTTAGCTTCTAGAAGCATCCTGCTTACTGTTTTCTAGATGTGTCATCTCCTTGGAATTGGCTTCTGGGTATGGTGTGAGGTGGAGATTGACAGTTACAGTTTCCTCCCAGTATGACTAACCTGCTGGCCCTGGCCACTTACAGCAAGTCCATCTTCTCCCCCATTGCTCTGCAGTGTTGCTTGGGCTGTAAGTCAGGCATCTATCTGTGGCTCTGTCCAGGATCCCTGTCCCACCTGACGGTCTCCATCCCTGACCCTGGGCCACACTGCCTTAATTGCTGTGTAACAGGTTAACATGCTTTTGAAATTCATTTTAGAGCCAGTTTGCTGATTTATGCACACAATCCTCAAATAACCATTTTCCTCCTGGAATATTAATTGAGATTCCATTGAATATATAGCTCAATTTAGGGAGAATGGGCATTTTGAAAATACTAAGCCTCTAGTACATGAACATGATGTATTTCTCTGTTAATTGAGAACTTCCTTTAGCATTTTGAGAGTAGTCCTTTTGTTTAGAGGTCTTGCACATCTTTTGTTAGCTTTATTTGTGCATATTTTATTTTATTTTTGATGCTATTACAAATTGTTTCTCTTAAAATTTTTGTTTTCTAATTGTTGCTAGTTTATTAAAGTACAGTTGGTTTTTTAAATGACTGTGAATCTAGCGACATGACAGGTTAATTTTAACACTTGAATCGTTTTTATGTATGCTGATTTTTGAATTGTATTTTGTCCAAGTAAATGCAGAAGTTATTTACAGTTTTTGGTGTAAATGATTTGCAGAGACCTTATCTCTACAAAAAAAAAAAAAATTAACTGGACATGGTGGTGTGCACCTGTAGCCCCAGCTACTTGGGTGGCTGAGGTGAAGAATCACCTGAACCCAGGAGGTTGAAGCTGCGGTGAGCCGTGACCATGTCACTGTACTCCATTCTGTGTGCACGCTGGGTTTTCAACCCCAAGTAATTATTAGCATTAGTCATGTTCTTTGTGCTTATGTGTTTGGTAACTGAACATGATACTGACCCTGTTTTTCTTTTGTTCTTTAAATACAGCAACTCCAGGTGGTTCCGCTATTTGGGGACATGCAAATAGAACTGGCACGATACATCAAGACCAGCGCCCACTATGAGGAAAATAAGTCTCGGTAGGAGGAGAGAAAAGCTACCCAGCTAGATCTTCCTGCAGTGTCCTCACTGCACTGAGAACACCCTGCTTGTTTATCTAGACATTCTCAACAGTCCAGAAGTGAATGTCCATTTTGGTATCTCTTGCCACATACAGCTATTTACATTTAAATTCACTGAAAAATAAAATTAAAATTTTAATTTCCTTGGTAGAACAGCTGCATTTCAGTGTTCCACAGTCAGTGCCCACCCTATCAGGCAGCACTTCTATTGAACAGTGCTGCTTGATTATATTGAAGTGTAAAAAAATGCTCTGAACCCAGTGCTATGCAGTCCTGGTTGAGGGTGGGATGTCTGCATGTGTGTTAGCAGAGTTTACAAAATGGTTACGTGAGGGCCAACGCAGCCCAGGCCTGAGTTTTTAAGGTCCCTAGAGCTGAGAACAGTCTTTCCATTTTAATTTTTTTATTTATTTATTTATTTTATTTATTTTGAGTCAGGGTCTCTCTCTGTCGCCCAGAATGGAGTGCAGTGACATGGTCACAGCTCACCGCAGCTTCCACCTCTCGAGCTCAGGTGATTCTTCCACCTCAACTGCCCGAGTAGCTGGGGCCACAGGTTCACTTCACCATGTCTGGCTAATTTTTTAATTCTTTTGTAGAGAAAAGGTCTCGAACTCCTGGGCTCTAGCATTCCTCCTGTCTCAGCCTCCCAAAGTGCTGGGATTACAGATGTGAGCCACTGCTCCCAGACTCTTTCTGATTTTGAAAGATTGACTTTAAAAAAGAAGAGAATGACTATGTGATGGAGACAGGGTGACCCACAAATCCTAAAACGTTTACTAGAAAGTTAGCCAAGCCCTGCTGGAAAGAACCTGTGGCTCACAGTGACCAGTGACAGCAAATGCACAGCGCTGTCTGGTGTAGCTTCTGCGTGGCTGACTGAGTCTCAGGAAGTCTCGTTGGCTCTTGGCAAGCGCTGTGTACAGCCAGGCTAGCCTGTCCCTGTCAGCCATGATTTTGACAAATGAAGTTGCATCTCAAACTCAGGGCTCAACAAACTTTTTCTGTAAAGGCCAGACAGTAAATATTTTAGACTTTTCAGGTGATCTCTGTAGCATGTCCTTCTTTGTTTTGTTTTTAAACAATGCTTTAAAAATGTCGACGCCATCTTGTGTGGCTCTAGCACCACGCCAGATTGCGCAGCCACCCCGCTGTGCCTGTGCTGGCACTGTGTGGTGACGCAGCCTCTTTCTTCCCCAGGTGGACGTGTACGTCTTCGAGCAGTAGCCCTCAGTACAACATCTGTGAGCAAATGATCCAGATCCGCGAGGACCACATGCGTTTCATCTCGGAGCTGGCCCGCTATAGCAACAGCGAGGTGTGCCCACAGCTAACCGCTTGACTGAGAGTGCCTGATGCTTGCTTGTATTTTTTTGCACCCCAAAAATGTAATTGCTTTAAAAGATGCAGTTTAGTACCAAATACAGTCCCGCGTGACATAACGGCAGGGATTTCTGAGAAATGTGTCCTCAGGCGACTTTGTCTTCATGAAAGCCATCACAGGATGACTCACACAAACCTAGATGGCGTGGCCTGCTATACACCTACGCTGTGTAGTGTAGCCTGTTGCTCCTAGGTTATACACTTGTGCCCATTTGACTGTACTGAGCCCTGTAGGCAGTCGTAACACAGTGTTAAGTCTTTGTGTATTTGAACATCTCTCAACATAGAAAAGGTACAATAAAAATACAGCAGAAAAGTTTAGAAGGTGCACCTGTTTAGAGCACTGATGTGAATGGCACTCACAGGGATGGAAGTTGCTCTGGTGAGTCAGTGAGGTATGGTGAGTTTGAAGGCCTAGGACATTACTGCACGCTACTGTAGACTTTGTAAACACCACACACTTCGGCTACATTGAACTTATTTTTAAAACCTTTTTCCTTCAGTGGTTTGACTTACTGTAACTTTTTACTTTATAAACCTTTTTACTTTTTTAAAACCCTTTTGACTCTTGTAGTAACACTTAGCTTAAAACATAAACACATTGTACAGCTGTACAAAAACATTTGCTTTCTTTACACTCTTATTCTGTAAGCTTTTTTTTTTTAACTTTTTGTTAAAAACTAAGACACAACTACACATTAGCCTAAGCAGGATTATTAAGACATCACTAGGTGACAGGAACTTTCCAACCCCATTATAATCTATAGCACCACCATTGCATATGCTTATTGACAAAAATGTTGGCATGTAGTACGTGGCTGGAATTGGTTTCCTAACATCAGTTAAGGTAACAAGTCCGTCGGTTTTTTAGTATTACTTTAAAGTGAGTCCACTTCAGGTTTGTTCTTTTTTTTCTTGAATGCTAAAAATCCTGGTTCTGATCTATGCCAGCTTAATTTGATTTATGTCATAATCTAGTCTTAAACTAGCCATACCAGCACCACTAATTACAGTGACAAAGTTGTCTTGGGTTTGTTTTGCAAGTATTTTGTCTTGGAGATCGTCACACGAGGGATGTAAAGTCATATCATGGTGTTTCACAGTCACTTGGAGTGGTCCCTTTCTAAGAGGTCATCATGTGAACTCCATATACACTCAATCCATTGTTCCATTTACTTTTGACTTTTAGGGCTTTTTCTTTCTAATTTAACTCTGTGCCCTAATAATATAAAATATTTACATGGTTTCAACGTCCCATCTATACAAAGAGGTATATTCAAAGAGGTAGCGTGTCTTCCCCACCACTTTGCTTCTTCCTCCTCGTAGGGTAACCACTTTTATTTTTTTATTTTTTATTTTTTAATTTTTTGTTGAGTTGGAGTCTCACTCTGTCGCCCAGACTGGAGTTGCAGTGGCTGCTCCCGGCCACCGCACCATCAACCTGCTGGGCTCCAGCAATCCTTCCGCCTCAGGCTTCCAAGTGGCTGGAACTACAGGCGTGCGCTACTATGCCCAGCTAATTTTTGATTTATTGTAGAGATGAGGTCTCGCCAAGTTACCCAGGCGGGTCTCAAACCCGCGGGCTCAGGCAGTCCACTCACCTCGGCCTCCCGAAGCGCTGAGATTACAGGCTGAGCCACCAAGCCCGGCAACCACTTTTAAATGTGTGTTCATTATTTGATATAAGCAAGTGGCACAAGATTTGTGTGTTTTCTTTTACTAGCTTAGAGGAAACACCAAGTACATATCTCCTACCACTGAGCCCTGGAGACCCCCAGGCAGTGGTGCTCTGCTTTAGGGCACAACAGGGCCCCCACTTTTCTGCGGTGGAGGGTCTTGCACTCACATTATTTTGTACTTTTCCGTGTGACTTTGGAAGAAATTCCTAGGGATGGGGTTGGATGGGTGGGGGAAAACACTATGTGGCTTTTCCCATGATGCCTGTGCCTGCTGTGCTCCAGGTGGTCACTGGGTCAGGCCGCCAGGAGGCCCAGAAGACAGATGGCGAGTACCGCAAGCTGTTTGACCTGGCTCTGCAGGGCCTGCAGCTGCTGTCGCAGTGGAGTGCGCACGTGATGGAAGTGGTGGGTGCTGCGTGGGCGGTGGGACTTCAGGAGCTGAACACGCAGCCGCTGCCCAGCTGGCTGGAAGGGCTTTTCTTGCTGAATGCATCACTACACGGGCCTGATATTTTTTCTGCATTAACATTGGTCTTTGGGTCAAGGACGAATCGACTTTTTATCTTTGGCCCTAAATGGAAGGCTGTGTATCATTATAAGTGTTTCTGTGATACATTTCTTTTTTTGAGTTGGAGTCTTACTCTGTCACCCAGACTGGAGTGCAGTGGCCGCTCCCGGCCACCGCAGCCTCGACCTGCTGGGCTCTGGCGATCCTTCCGCCTCAGCCTTCCAAGTAGCTGGAACTACAGGCGCGCACTACCACATCTGGCTAATTTTTTTATTTATTGTAGAGATGAGGTCTCGCCAAGTTGCCCAGGCAGGTCTTGAACCTGTGGGCTCAGGCATTCCACTCACCTTAGCCTCCCAAAGCATGGGATTACAGGCTGAGCCATCAAGCCCAGCTTCTATGATACATTTCTTTCACATGTGTTAAAAATAAAGGGCCTCATCTTTTAAAAGGTATCAAAGTTAAATGTATACCATTATGGTAGTCTTCATTTCTTAATTCAGATTTTTAAACTTTTATTTTTATTGATACATACTAGATGTACACAGTTTTGGAGGCTGTGTAGTAATTTAATACATTCATATAATTTGTAAAGATCAAATCAGTGCTCTTGGCCTGTTATCACCTTAAATATCTGTCACTTCTTGATGCCAGAAACATTAGAGTTTTCTTCTGGCTATTTTGAAATGTACAGTCGACTATTTATTTGTTTATGTTTTGAGTCAGTCTCACTCTCTTGCCTAGCCTGGAGTGCAGTGGTACACTCACAGCTCACCGCAGCCTCAACCTCCTGTGTTCAGGTGATACTTCTACCTAGCTTCCCAAGTACCTGACATTACGGTTGTACATCGTCACCTAGCTAATTTTTGTATTTGTTTGTAGAGATGAGGCCTCGCTCTGTTGCCTAGGCTGGTCTTGAACTCCTGGTCTCAAGCTATCCTGTTTTTTGGCCTCCCAGATTGCTTGGATTACAGGCATGAGCCCCCATGCTTGGCCTGAAGTGTACAATAGATTATTGAAAAGGATAGTCACCCTACTGATCTAGGGAGTATTAGGTCTTATTTCTTCTGTCGAACCATGTATTTGTATCCATTAATCAACCTCTTTTTTTATCCCTCATTTGAAAAACATTTTCTCTTTGGTGCTGCAGCAATTAGTATCTTTTGTTGGATGTTAGTAAAATTGTTTCTGGTGTCTATAAAGGTTTGGATATATGTAAATTATAAAAGATTTTTCCTTTTGTGGTTTATTTTTATCAGAGAATACTGATCACATTGGAAGATACACCATCATTTGAAGGGCAAGTTCTTTTTTTAAGTGGTGATGAAATGCCTAGGGTTGTCTTAGATGCTCAGCACTGAATATTGGGCCATTTGCCTGGTGTGAGAAGGTAGACCTTTGGGTCCTGGCCATGGTCGTGTGAATCAGACCAGAAGCCAAGCCTTTGGCCTGCAGTGTGGAATGTCTCTGCTCTTTCTGACCACACAGTACTCGTGGAAGCTGGTGCACCCCACCGACAAGTACTCCAACAAGGACTGCCCCGACAATGCGGAAGAATATGAGCGTGCCACACGCTACAACTATACCAGTGAGGAGAAGTTCGCCCTGGTGGAGGTGAGGACCTTTGTCTGCTTGCTCTTCCATTTGCGGCTCTGGACTCACACTTTTCTCTTTCAAAAGCAAAAGCAAAATCGTGAGCAAACTGCCTGTTTTACATCACTGCCTGTGTGTAGGGAAGCCCTCTGCACCTGTCAGAGCTGACAGACAAGGTGAAATGAGGTAGAGAAGACATGCTGGTCAGCGCCCGCATCTGCGCTGACAACCCCAGGTGGGCAGACCATCAACTCTTCAAGGGTGTCTGTGGATGGAGAGCAGGTTCAGGGGCGTGAGGGGAAGGAGCACTCGCTGTCTGAGCAGAGCTGTCATAGCTCTGGGCATTTGCTACCAGCTCCCTGCAGTGCTGCATTCGCCTCGTGAGCCTAGTGACGGACAGAAGCTCTTATTTCCAATGTCAATCAACTTATTTTCTCTTATGGCTGTACTTTTCCTGTCTTGTTTAAGAAATCTTTGTATTCTCTCAGGTCATGGAGGTTTTGTCCTACACTGCCTTCTGGGGATATTTTGCTATTTTGCCTTTCACACTGAGCTCTGAAATTCATCTGAAGCTTGTTTTTCTGTTTGTTTGTTTGTTTAAAAGATGGGGTCTCCCTCCATCACCCAGGCTGCAGTGGTGATGTGATTGTAGTTTACTACATGCAGGCTCAGTCTCCTGGGCTCAAGTGATCCTCCTGCTTCAGCTCTTGAGTAGCTGAAATTGCAGGCTGCCATACCCAGATAAGTTTTTTTTTTTTAATTTTTGTAGAGACAAGGTCTCACTTGTTGCCCTGGCTGGTCTCAAACTCCTGGTCTTAAGCAATCCTCCCTCCTGGGCCTCCCTAAATGCTGGGGTTACAGGTGTGGGCCATTATACCCTGCCTGAAGTTAGTTTTAGAAACATTTCTGCCCCCACCCCCCTTGCCACCATGGGTCAAATAGCGATGGGAGGGGGGTGGTTCTGCTCTGTTCTAACTCAATGGTCAGTTTGTCTTTCCTTGTCCCAACTCTACTCTAGTTTTAGCTACCATGCCTGAGAATGTACAGCTTCTGGCTTCTTTAAGAATCCTTTGGCTATTCTTGCTCTTTGTATTTTCATACACATTTTAGAATCCAGTTTTCATATCCCACAGTGAAACCTGTTGGAATTGTTTTTATTGGGATATGAATAAACCTATAGATTATGATAGGGAGACCTGACAAACTTCTAATACAGTTGTCTCTCTGCATCCTTGGGTGCAAACCCAAGATGAAAATATTTTTTAAAAAAAAAGGAGAGAAAGAAAGCAAAAAATAACAATACAACAGTTTAAAAAGCACAAATAAAAAACCAATACAGTATAACAACTATTTATATAGCATTTACTTTGTGTTTGGGATTATAAGTAATCTAGAGATTATATAAAGTATACAAGAGCATATGTATGGATTGTATGCAAATACTGTGCCATCTTATATAAGAGACTTGAGCATCTGTGGATTTGGGTATCCCCAGTGGACCCTGGAACCAATTCCTGCAGATATCAAGAAATAATCGCATTGTCTTTTTAAAAATTGATATATATTAGATGTTCATATTTTTTGGAGTACATGTGATCATTTGTTACATTCATATAATCAAATCAGGGTGACTGGAATACCATTACCTTAAACATTTATCTTTTCTTTACGTCTAGGAGTATTTGAATCATTCTCTTCCAGCCATTTTGAAATGTACAATCAATTAATGGTAACTAGAGTCACCATATTTCATCTTGAGTCTTTTTTTTTTTTTTTTTTTGAGTGTGGTATATCCCTTCATTTGTTCAGATTCCCTTTAATTTCTCTTTTATAATCTGTGTAGAAATCTTTGATTCTTTTTTGTTACCTTTATTTCTTGGTATTAGATATTACGGGCGGTATATTTTTAAATTTTTCTAAATGTCTGTCACTGGTATTTATTTTTGTTTCATTCATTTGAGCTGGAATCTCACTCTGTTGCCCAGGCTGGAGTGCAGTGGCACACTCACGACTCACCACAGCCTTGATCTCCTGTGCTTAGGCCGTGTCCGCCAGGTTTCTTTATTGTATAGTCACCTCCCTGCTTACTATAGTGTACTTTGGGGAAGGAGGTCCCTGTGCTTAGCTCACCCCTCTAGAGAGGTGATGTTACTTTTTAATAAACTTTAATTCTAATTTCTTGGATGCCTGCTTCATAAACTTACTCATGGAATACACCCTTCTTTTCTAACATCTGGGAGGATTTGGTAAGTCTTGCATTATGTCTTCCTTAAATGTTTACTGGCATCTACTGGTGAAACCTTCCTTTTATGGGATTTTTTTGAAACATTTAGTTTCTTCACTATATATAGAGGAATATTTAGATTTTTCTATTTTTTGTTGTATGGGTTTTGGTTGTATTTTCAAGGAATTTATCTAAATTGTCTACCTTTTTTGGCATAAAGTTTTTCATAATAAATTCTCATCTCAGTTTAGTAAAGTTTTTCATAATAAATTCTCATCACACCCATTTTAAGTATATTTGAGTTGGGCTCAGTGGCTCAGCCTGTAATCCCAGCATTTTGAGGTGAGTGGATTGCCTGAACCTGACAGTTCGAGACCAGCCCGGACAACTTGGCGAGACCTCGTCTCTACAATAAATCAAAAAAATTAGCTGGGCTTGGTAGCGCGTGCCTGTAGTTCCAGCTACTCGGAAGGCTGAGGCGGAAGGATTGCCAGAGCCCAGCAGGTCAAGGCTGCGGTGGCCGGGAGCGGCCACTGCACTCCAGTCTGGGCAGCAGAGTGAGACTCCAACTCAAAAAAATAAAAAAAGTTTCTTTGATATATTCACAATGGATGCATACAGTCACATCTACTTTAGAACATTTCCTGTTATCTCACAAGAAACCTCAACCTGTGAGCAGCCTAGCACCAGAGCAACCGCAATGAGAACACAAAGTGTGTAGACGAAGCAGGAATGCCAGAGAGGGCCCTATGGGGTCTTGGAGACACACACTGCGTTCTTGCTGAGTAAGCTTCAAACCACCGGGTTTCATAGGACGGCTTTAAGAAGATGCTGCCTTAGTTTTGAGTTCGTAAAAAACTTCAAAATAAAAAACTTTATTTCTGTGGACTGATAAACCATTTTGGGATGCTAAAGAGGGATTTTAATATTTTCTCAAACTTATTAATTTTATGTACAGAATCATTTTTTGTTTTTATTTATTTTTGGGGTTGGGGGTCTTACTCTGTTGTCTAGGCTAGAGTACATGATCAGAGCTACCACAGTCTTGATCCTTCCACCTTAGCCTCCCTAGTAGCTGGGACTACAGGTATGTGCCACACACCTGGCTAATTTTTAAAATTTCTGTTGTTGAGATAAGGTCTCACTATGTTGCCTAGGCTGGTCTCAAACTCCTGACTCAAGCAGTCCTCCTGTCTCAACCTCCCAAAGTGCTGGGATTACAGGTGTGAACCACCACACCTAACCCAGAGTATGTTTTAGAAAATATGCCACTGGACTGGGTGCAATGACTTATGCCTATAATCCCAGCACTTTGGGAAGCCCAGGTAGAAGAATTGCCTGAGGCTAAGAGTTCAAGACCAACCTGGGCAACATAATGAGACCTATAAAAAGTAAAAAAAGAAAATGTGACACTGAATTATGCTTTATTGGTGCTATTGAGTATCTTGCTTCAAGTTCCTGTGTGTTTGTGAAAAATTCACCTTGCCCCACTTGCATGCTTTCAGAGAGATTTCCACGTCTCACAACCACAGTGAAGTTGGCTGTAGAAACTTGTAAACTGCAGAAGCAGCAAGAAAACTCACAGAATTGTAATGGTCATGTTTGGTTCATGCCCTTCAGTTGTTTACTCCAAAAATAATAAAAGTTCAGTGTAATTGATGCAGTTACTGCTAGAAACAGGAAAATAATCAGCCATTGGCATCATTTTTCTGTCTGTCACAACAACTCCTTTGAAAGCTGTCATGTAGCTATGTTCTTTTTTTTTTTTAATTTTTTCTAGTTGGAATCTTACTCTGTCGCCCAGGCTAGAGTGCAGTGGCATGCTCACAGCTACTACAGCCTCAACCTGCTGGAGTCAGGCGATCCTTCTGCTTCAGCCTTACAAGTAGCTGGAACTACAGGTGTGCATCACCACACCCAGCTATTTTTTTGATTTATTGTAGAGACGAGGTCTTGCCATGTTGGCCAGGGTAGGTTTGAGCCCATGGACTCAGGCAGTCCTCTCACTTCCGCCTCCCAAATTGCTGGGATTACAGGCATTAGCGACTATGCCTGGCCTCATGTAGCTATGCTCTAACAAAATCTTCCAGGCTTTTTCCATGTGTATTAATTCAGCTGCCATTACTGCTTAATAAGTGGGATTTGGGCTACAAACCTCATAACTTCCTTTCTCTTTTCTAGTTAATAACATATTTGCTTTCCTGAGTCTTTTTCCTCTTTTCCACTTGAGTTTCGCCACAGGAGAGTGTGCCAGTGTGGATGCAAGTGTTTATCATCGAATGTGCCGCTACCCTCCAGGTGTTTCTGGCCTGAGTGAGGGTCAGACCCATACATAGTAACCATGACCTCTGGCTGCTCTAGGGGGCAGGCCCAGAAGATGTGTCCTGGGTGAAGAGGGGAGGCCTTGGGGTGCCAGGCAGATGAAGCTCAGCGCTGCCCCTGAAAAGGGCTGTCCCATGTCTCCTGCAGGTGATTGCCATGATCAAAGGCCTGCAGGTGCTAATGGGCAGGATGGAGAGTGTGTTCAACCATGCCATCCGGCACACCGTCTACGCCGCACTGCAGGACTTCTCCCAGGTGACCCTCAGGGAGCCCCTGCGACAGGCCATCAAGAAAAAGAAGAACGTCATCCAGAGGTCAGCTTTCCACACACACCTGGGCCCACTGTGTCTAGAGGTCCTTGGGTTAAAATCAGTGTTACATTTTTATAAATAGGCTCAATACCCCAGATGCCCTTTCTTCCAGTAGTCCCCTCTAACTGCAATGCCGAAGGTCTAATCTGGACTAATCTGGACAACCACAATGGCAAGTCAGCGGCAGGCATCTAAGGAGGCTGGAGACAGGAAACCTGCCAACGACTCTGGTCCCCAGTGGGGACATGTGGCTCATACTCCACCCCCCTCACAGCAGGTCAACTTCAGCAATTCTACTTCTATTCTTCTGCCCTCTCCTGTGACTCTGCCAAAAGTGGCAGCAATGTTGCTGAAATCCAGAAGCCAGCTGGAGCTTGTTTTCCCCAATGTTGATCCTTTTAGGTAAAGTTGTCTTTCGAAGACACCATGTGACTTGAAGTTCTCGGGTTCACAAATGGGTGGACTTTATTTTCTGGCTTTGTAGTTATGTTTGTCACCCAACATGGTATGATTTTAAGCATTAAGGTGTATATTGCAATGCTTGCAGTTTAACTTGTCACTTGAGGGCTCAATTGTGGGTTTCCTTTCTGAGTTTTGCCTGCTGTCTGGCAAGTCCTGCCTCACGAGCGTCTCACTGTGCATTCTGGACTGTGTTGAGATAGGTGTGCCTGAGGTGACAGTGGAGGGGTGGTCTTTACAGACAGAATTCTCTTAAGGAACACCAGATGTAGAAAGTGCTCACAATTAAGAAACCCCAACACAAAGCTCGTGGAATGTGTAGTGAGTTCTGAGAGTTTCTCGAGTTTCAGCCAGAACTTTCCCCACAAGGTAACAGGGTAGGCTTGTGGTGCCTCTGGCCCACGCGTGGTGACCACGGAGTCCTGTTGCTGATGGGGTCACATTCCAAATGTTTGAGGCACATGCCCAGTGTTCCTGGTTATGTGGGTGACCTCGCGTCCCTGGCTGCCTGCAGTGGAGCCAGCTGTGGCCTGAGTGGGTTGGGTTCTACCCTCTCCCTGCTCTCACATGACCAGGGCTGCCTGTCACAGTGTGTCCAGGAAAGAAGAACACTTCCTGGCTAAGTGATGCAAACTGCAGCTCAGTGAGTCTTCTGGGACTAGTCGCATTCTTAAGAAGATAATCTAACGTGTAATTTCCTGTTGAATGGGTCCATTCCCACATCTCTCTGCTGCTCCCAGAGGAGTTTGTGTGTTGGCTGTCACAAGAGCCTGTTACTTAGGTGAGGGGACACTGTGACTGTGACAGTCCCCTCTGGGTATCGCTGATAACCTGGTGCCGTTCAGTGTCCTGCAGGCCATCAGGAAGACCGTGTGTGACTGGGAGACAGGGCATGAGCCCTTCAATGACCCAGCACTGCGGGGTGAGAAGGACCCCAAGAGCGGCTTCGACATTAAAGTGCCACGGCGCGCCGTGGGACCCTCTAGCACACAGGTTCTCGCCCCCTGCCCCTCCGTCTCTCATTCCTGGGATGGGCCACTCTGAGCTAGGGCAGGTGGGACTGCGAGGCCGGGAGTGAAATGATGTCACTGCTGTCTGCTCAGGCAAATAAAGTATCCCCTGCAGCTCTTCAGCCCCCCAACTCCCAACCCCAGTGAACCTGGAACATCAGCTGAGACAGTTGTAACTCTGATTCATTCCCTTTTACCAAGAAGTGAATCTGAGTCCAACTCCTGTCCTAAAAATGCAGGTGAAAGTCTATATATGTATATTGGTACTGTGTTTCTTGGTGGGCATTTATTTTTTTAATTTTTGGAGTCAGAGTCTCACTCTGTTGCTCAGGCTGGAGTACAGTAAGTAGCACGCTCACAGCCACCACAGCCTCAACTTGCTGGGCTCAGGCAATCCTTCTGCCTTAGCCTTCCAAGTAGCTGGGATGCCAGGCATGCACCACCATGCCTGGCTAGTTTTTTGATTTATCGTAGAGATGAGGTCTCGCCAAGTTGTCCAGGCTGGTCTTGAACCCGTGGGCTCAGGCAGTTCTCTCACCTCAGCTTCCCAAAATGCTGGGATTATAGGCATGAACCACCGTGCCTGGCTTCTTGGTGGGCATTTAAATGTATGCTTCTAACTTTTATGGTGGGTCTTTGGTGGGTCTACAAATGGTCTTCCTAAAGATGGAAAGTTGGGAAATTGCACAGCATTGCTTTCGTGTGTCGTAGTCCTAAGTTGCCACCACTGTTCTCTGTCCTGATGCTTGCAACTCTTTCTGTACTTCCCCCAGCCCCTCTGCCTGTCCTGGGACTTGGCCTTTCTCCATCTCTCTGTGGGAGGGCTTTCTAATCTCTCCTACCAGTCTTCTATAATGTCTCCAGCAAAACCTGGTGTTGGCTCTCTAGGAAAGCTTGGAGCAAGGCTCTGACCTCTCCACGGAGGACAGCCTCCTCCCCACCTCTGCCCACGCATGTGTCCCTGTGTCCCCTGCCAGGGGCATGTGTGTCATGTGACTAACGTCTCTCTCCTACCTCTCCCTCCCTGTCTGTGTCTAGCTCTACCTGGTGCGCACCATGGCCGAGTCCTTGAGCTCTGCCGAGCTGCTCCGGCAGCTCAAGTCTCTGGGCATGGAAAGGCTCTTGCATGTGGTAAACGCATTTCTCAGGCAGTCGTACGCCTACCCGCCTCTGTTAGCCTTTGGTGGTAAGCCATCGTTTGTTCTTCTTGTTGGAGTTTAGGGCACAGAGGTGAACTGCTCCACCACAAGCTGTTCTTCCCCGGTGGCAGCAGGTTGGTGCCATAGCCGTGGGAGCTCCCGGCGTGGCGCAGATGTGGTGGAGCAGTCCTTTTCTTGGGGCTCCTCTGAGCTGGTGTAACTAATATACCGTGTATATTTTCTCCCCTACAAATGTTTCCTTGGATAATCCAGCTTTACATGGTGAGAACCATGCTAGAGTCCCTCATTGCAGACAAAAGTGGTTCCAAGAAAACCCTGAGAAGTAGCCTTGAGGGGCCCACCATATTGGACATAGAAAAATTTCATCGAGAGTCATTCTTCTACACTCACTTGATAAATTTCAGTGGTAAGAGATAACTGCTGACCAGTGTCCGGCCTGGCATGTCCTAACACCACTAACATGTCTAGAATGCTTCTGCCTGCCTGACCATTCCCTGCCTGGTCCCTTGATGCACCCAGACAGTGACATGTCCTGCCCTCTGTGGCGGGGGCTGTATGTCCCGGGCTCCCCCCACTCCCTTGCTGTCCTGGCCGCAGCTCCCTCCACTGGGAATGGGCCCGACAAGGGTGGGAGCTGAGTGGCTGGGCCAGCCCTGCAATGTGAACACAGAGTCTTTTCAACTCAGGCAGGGCCAGATACAAAGGTGGATGCTGTCTTATGCCTGGGTTGAGACACAGGCCCTGATACATAGCAATAGTCCCACAGGCCATGGTGTGGGGAAAAGTAACAGGTGCCTGAGCAGGTGAGCCCGTCCTAGGTGGTGCCCAGTCAACGTGACTGGCACTGGTGGGTGTGTCCTGCCCTCTGGGTGTCTGCCTATGTCCTTGCTGGGCCACCCACGTCTACTCCCCGGCCCCCACCTCTTGTTCAGAGCAGGAGGCCCACTGTCCTGCTTTGGGGCTGCAGGTACTGGAGTAGATAGTGGTGCTTTTGCTATTTACTCCGTGAGAGGACGGAGTCTCTTTTTTAAAATCTGTCTCTGTTTTTGCATTAGCAAAACCTACCCTGAGTGCACGTATGCTGCATCCTAGACATTGGTTTTATCCTAAGCAGCAGTAAAGAAATCCTGTTTTAATTCCTTCTTTTCTTTTCTTTTTTTTTTCTTGAGTTGGAGTCTCACTCTGTCACCCAGACTGGAATGCAGTGGCCGTTCCCGGCCACCGCAGCCTCGACCTGCTGGGCTCCGGCGATCCTTCCACCTCAACCAATTTCTTCTTTTCTTTACTTTTTTTTCTGAGTTGGAGTCTCACTCAGTCACCCAGACTGGAGTGCAGTGGCCGCTCCCGGCCACC